AAAATATTTATATAAAAATTTATATAAAAATATCTACAGATTTTTTAAAAAATTAATATTAAAATAGCAATACTTCTCCATTATCAAGAGTATTCGTTTTAGTTTACCTAGAAAGATGAATCAAAACTAATGGAAACAGCATTTTTATGAATGAACGTGCGAATGACTAAAAAGGTCTTATGATACGAGTGTATATTTTTAATCATGTGGCTATAAATAAATATATTTTTAAATAATTTAAATATTTCAATTGACTCAAACAAACTGATAAGAATTTTCTACAAAGATAACAGCAAAAATTCTTAATGCATTAAACATGCAAGGGAAGAAGCCCTCGTAGGAAAAATAGTAGCAAATGTCATCAAATAATAATAAAAGTAATTATGTACAGATATGACTCAAAACCATAGACAGTTGCAGATACAAAGGTCTCGACCATGCTGGGAATTTCGGTATTACACAGAACTATTTGCAGTACAAAATACAGAGCAATTATTTAAACAATTTGCCAAAGATAAATATTTGAACTGATAATATTTCTCTGTCGCAGTTGTTGTTGCAGTTGTTGCTGCTGTTGTTATTGTTATTGTTAGTGTAGCAGTTCGATAATTAAATTGACAGATAATGAATAGAATATGCTGGTGACACATCGTATTCTCCCCACCCTACCCAACCATTTCTCTAAGATGTACGAAATTGGAGCAGAAATTCTGTCTAAACGGATATTTCTTTATCAGAAATTCTGAGAAAATCCAAGTCAAATAAATGCAAAATTATTTTGGCTAGGAAAATTATGAAAACAACACGTTCAGCAATTGACGTAAGGGTGTTGCTTTTTGTTTTTTTTTTTTTGTTTTTTGCTTTTAGTCACCTTTGTTTAATGTTTTTTGCAAATTTTAATATAAAAGTTAAACATTTTTCAAAAATTATAACAATTGTTGAGAAACACTCGAGGTGTAGTGTGAGTATATCATATCTAACGCATTTTTAAAAATATTTTTCGGCAACTTAATATTGAAGTGAATTAATATACATTAAATATTATAAGGTAATATTATATTGTTTATTATGTGAAATAAAAATAAATAATTAAAAATAAATGTTGTACTTTATTAAAAAAAAAGATCAAAATATAACCATAACAGATAAAAATTTTGGAAAAAATAAAAGAAAAAAATTTAAATTTATAAAAATTAAAAAAAAAAAATTTAAATAATAAAATAAATAAAAATAAGTTTTAAATAATCTATAATTGTGAGTACAAAAATATATTAGTGAATAAAAATAAATCTAATAAAATAAAATCTAATTTAATATTTTTATTTCTGAATTTTTAAAAAATTTTTGAATATAAACAAAAAGCTGCAATATTATTAATATAATAATCATAATAATAATTATTAATATACTATAGTATAAATTATGTAAAATATTATAGCAAAATATGATACAGTTTTTGTTTAAATGCGACATTTCATCATAACACTACATACTTTATATATTTAATAAAACACTACATGATATAAATAAATGCAAGTTTTTCAATATTTAATAAAAATAATTAAATATAAATATATAAATATAAATAAATAAATATAATTTAATAAAATTAATATTTATATTAATTTAATAAAGTTCAATAGAATTTGTTTAGATCAAAATTAAACTTAACTAATAACTATTGAAGATGCACATTGATGTTATTGTTTTACAAATTAATTAATAATTTATAAAAATAAATTATTTTTAAATATAGATATTTATATTTATATTTATTATTAAAAATAGCAGATATATAAATAAGCTTTTTAAAAATTAATATTTTCTTACACAATCACTGTTGTTTGGGAGAACTTATGGAAAAGATAAGAAGTGGTGAAATAAGTATAGCTATACTGATATAATATACCGGGGCTATCACAATCGAAATCGTTTATAGGAAATTTCAAGCTGAAACGATTTAAGGATTGTATTCAACTAAGTTACGGTAACTTAAGAATCATTACAGGAACTCTGACAGAACAGAGTAATAGTGTGATAGTTTAATCTAACTCTTCATTAAACTGGGACCTTACTCTAATAAATTTTATATGTTTTCTAGAGCAAGGAATGGGACGTCAAAATATGTGGTAGGACCATTTCGGCTGACATTTTTTCTTTTTTTTTGTTAAGCTACTATTAAAAAAAAATCACAGAAATAGTTGATTTTCAAAAAGATACATATTACTATTTTATTTCAATTTTATAAAAAACAAAATTTTCATAAAATTATATATATGATATATTTAAACCTATATATTCAAAAAAATAAAACTATTTTACAATTGTAAATTATTAAAATATTATAGACCAGCAATTTTTATTTAAAAACCTTACCATAAAAAAAAATTTTCTAATTATATTAAATATATATATACATATATAAATTTCTTTAACTTCTACTAAATGCATAGGGCCGCAGTAGTAAATCTACAACATTTAAGAAATGTATGTATATCTGTAACTCGTTTATGTAAATCGTTCGAGTTTAACTCGAACGATTTCTTTCGAAAAGTTCTCACTTGCTTTTTCTCACTTCTTTCGAGTTTGCTGTTTATGTAACATGAAAAATTCACCACACGAGAACGTTATGGTGTGATGAGAGAAACTGATGAAAATGGAACGTTTTTTGAAAAAATGGAACGTTTTTTGAAAAAATTGAACGAAAATAAAACAATTTTAAAAGGTTGCTTAGTGCTTGCAAATAGCACTTGTACCAAAAATTTAAATTTATTCACTTTAACTCACTTTTTTTCATTCAAAATTCAAAACTTCTCGCAAGCAATTTGACAGGTGACAAAAACTCGAACGAAAAAAAGTGAGAAAACAATTCACCACAGTTACATAAACACTTCTAGTGAGTAATTGTCATAAGTGAGAAAATCGTTCGAGAAAACGAAGTGAGAAAGTTACATAAACGAGCTACTGATCATAGCTATAATATGTAATATATTTTGTTAATATTTTAAATATTAATAAATATTAAATATTTTATTAATATTTTAAATATCATAACGTCAATTTGGTAACTATTTTGAAAGCAACTATTTCAGTGTTATACTCGTATAATTAATAGCAAATTAAAAAAAGAAAGTTAAACTGATTAAAATAAGTTATGTCTATGATCAGGGGTATTTTTGGATAGTGTTTTGTTATATATCTATTTTATACTGTGTATAAATAATATTTATAATAAGTGAGCAAGTTTATATGTCGGTATAGCTAACGCCAACAACATTTTTAGTGGTTGAATAATAGTTTAAGAAAAGTTAATAATTAAAACAATTAATAAAAGTGTTATAAGAATTAAAAATTTATGCATAAATATTTTAAATGTCAATTTGCTAGTAATATAATCTACATCATAATATTCAAAAATATAAATTAAATTATTTGCAGTAGTAAAAAAAATGTTTTTAATAAAATAAAGTAAATATAAACAAAATTTTCTAATAGCGAATATAAAAACAACCAAAAACATTTGAAATAACAAAAAACATATGTAGAATAAAAAAAGAAAATATCTATAAGATAAATAGAGTAAAGCTTTTAAACTAAGACAAATAAATTAAAAGTTGAAAATACAAATTGAAAGTTAACAAGTAAAAGTAGCGAAAAATGTTTTTTAAAAAAGAAAAAGTACTAAAAGCTGAAAGCTGATCATTTCGAGGTTTCACAAAATACCAAGAAGCCAATTTAAGTTCAAAACTTTTTCTGACAAGAAATGGTAAAAGGAATTGCCACAGTCTTAAAAGTAAAAGTATAATTAAGAGATAATTATAAGGAGTATAAAAGTACGAATAGCCTTTTTTTCGTATTAGGAACAAATCTCTTTAAGATTTAAAAATTTTTTAATTAAATTTTATTAGAGAATATTATACAAAATCTTGATGGAATTAAGTTTTTTTTTTTAATTAGAAAAATAATTTAATAAAATATTTATTATTAATTGAAATCCATTTTTTACAGTTAAACACGTATAAAGTTTAATCAAATTATGTTTTTATTTATGTTCATATAGTCTTTAATAGATATGTGTTAATATGTTCTACACGCTAGAACATTCAACTTATGGTAGTTCTATACTTTCTTCGGTATATAAATATTCAATAGCCTAAAATGGGTTAACAACAAATAATAATATAATTATTGTTAGCTTTTTCCTTTATTATTACGAATTTTGACTTAACCCTATTGGGAGTTTCATTATATAGCTTTTTGCTGAGTTCAACTAGTTATTTTTCACAGTTTTATTACCACATTCTTCTAAAGAAACCTTAAGGCCAAAAAGTCATAAACAAAATCTACAGGATATATTCATAATGCATGTCATTAGCAGTCAGTTATAAAGTGCATAATATTCAAGATACGTTCACTAAAAAATCAAAGGTGGATCTCGCAAGTCGAAACTTAATCACAAATCGAATAAATTTCTGCCACCAGAACAGATTAAGAGCTCTTCTTTAGAATTAATTCTGAACTTTGTTCACAAAGCTTTAAAGAGCTTTGTGTAAACAATATTGAAATTGGTACATGAGGACTCTTCTGACCGTAGTACCGGCTGCTGGGCGATTTCACGTCAGAGCTTTAATAATAATAATAATAATAATAAGTCGAGTATGAAAAAATAATGAATAATTACTTAATTAAATTAAAATTTAATCTTTAAATAAATTTAACCATAAACCTCAAAATATTCTATTTATTCGCTCATTTAAATGCCACCAAAACTTTTTACCAACAAAATAAGAAGTGAAATGCTTTTAATTTTTGCGGTTCAATTTGCAGGAATTCACTGACATAAATAATTTCGAAATTTTATTGAAAACTAAAAGAATTAAATGAAATTTCTCAGGAAATATTTCTTTGAAGGATCAAAACAAAAATAAAAAACAACAACAAAAATTTTTAGAATAAATTCACTTATTTCATATTTTAATTTTTTTTTTTTTATTTTACAGATTTTACGTGTTGAAAACTTTTTGACATAGAAGTGAACGCAATTTGTAAAATTCACACATAAAAAGTGCACACACACATATATATACGCACAGAGCCATACAAACACTAATCATAAATATGAATTGGTTAAGCGCAGTTGGTGTTGATATCCGTTCCGCACGGAAATGCTTTTCTATTTCCGGAAGTTTACTGCTGATGCTTTTATTGTTTGTTGCACAAACTGCCTGTCGGCCACCGGATGAATTATACGATAGCCTTGATATCGTACCTGACGAATATGCTGATGTAGACAATGTTGAGGTATGTCTCAATCTGTTTATTACTCTAGATGTAGACAAATCCAATTTATATATATGTATACGTATATATATGTATATATATATATATATATATATATATATAATTAGTAAAAAAAATTGACTTTAAAATAAACATACTTTGAAGTGTGTTTATTTGGTTGCTAGTCATTAAGATTTAAGTATGAAAAGCTATAAATATAATTTCTTCACTATTAGCATCTTTATCTGTTCAAATTATAGTTCATGGATTATGACCAAATTAAATTTTAGTTAACAATATATTTCAAAAAAAATTACGATTAATATAAATAATATATATATATTTTACATAAAGAGGTTTTCGAACAAAAGTGAAACAACAACAAAAATTTATTTTTTAAATTATTTTTAATTAATTGAATTTTTGGCTGGCCATACAGCTGTTTTGAGTATTGCCAAATACCCTTCATCAGTGGTCTTGGAAATAATTCTTATATTTAATTATTCGTAAATAATTATTTTTGAGACTGCAAGTACCAGGAATCGAACTCGGGTCCTGCCAAATATGAAGCTCAGAATCAGCGCACCTTAACCAACTGATCCAAACCCGTACTTGACTTTTATTTTATAATTATATTTATTTTATATATATATATATTTTAAATATATATTAAATATTTATATATCTTATATATATATTTATTAAACATTTATATGTCCTAAATATATATTAAATATTTAATATATTTTAAATATATATTAAAACTTTATATAACTTAAATATATATATTTAACATTTATATGTCCTACACATATATTAAATATTTAATATATTATTTATATATGTTAAATCTGTTTTAAATATTTAATACATTTTAAATATCTTAAATAATAATTCATATTTATTAATATAATTTATAATAGTAAATAATAAAATTTCCTTTTTTATTTATTTTAGTTGATAAAGTTGAAGTGAAAAAAATAAAAGCTTATAGGTTAGGTTAGGTATTTTTGTTATTATTATATAGTCAATGAGATTGGTGGGACCCTGTAGTACCCCCAGCTATCAAAGAGTAAAAGTGCGCTGACTCGAAAAAAAGGATCAACATACATATAGTCAATAGTTATTTAGAATACTATATAATAATAAAAACAAAAATAAAAACTAATCTATAAGCTATTATTTTTTCATTTCAGCCTTTTCATTAATTTAAAATAATAAAATTATTATTGTTAAAAAATTTGACAGCTTTATATGTATGTATAAAGATATACATAAATATATATCTAAAAATATATACATTCATTGAAATAATTATAAATATGCATAAGTACACATAAAAAAATACTTAAACATATATTAAGTAAATATTATTATTTAATTTATATTTTATTAAATAATTTTTTAAAATTTTTATAGCTACATCATGTCAAAATGGTTGATGGCATTTTGCGCGAAGACCATCCAATTATAATGTATAAAGAAGATTTCGTCAGTGAGGATTATGGTAAGTAAATTACATCGGTAATTTAAACTTTAATATAAATAAATTTTTCTATCGAATGAGCTGCTATAACTAGGCACATTATAGAGAAATTGATCAACTTACAAGTAAATGCTAACATTATTTAGTAATATTTAAGGAAAATATATTATAATACTAGTGTTATAATACTAATGAGAGTATACAGAAAATCACTTAAGGTGGAGTAGTTGAAAGCGAATTCAAGATTCATTGCAAAACTTTTCATTGACCAAAAAAAAAATATATTATTTTTGGTCAAAAGTTATCCAAAATACTTAAGATGGTACATTTGTATATTAAAATAAGTATATTTGATAAAGGTAAAAGACAATTCCATGACATTTACATACTAAAGACAAATGAATGAGATATACAAATTAATTCGATTTGTGAATACAATATAAAATTTTTAAAATTTACTTAAAGTAATATATAAATTATTATACTAAGTACAATTAAAAAATTAACAAAAATCACATATCCAAACGCTTCCGAGAGGTTGGCATCGTTGTATGATATTTTCATTCAGTTCTGATTAGTTAAACCGTCTAAACCATAAGGATTTCAAGAATAGTATAGAGGTGTACAATGGTTTACTTAGGTTCTTTAGATATTATATGTATTATCGTAGTATATCTTATTACTTTGATTAAATAAAACTCCAAAAAAAAATTATTATAGGTAAAATATAAGCAGTATAAATTAATACGATAATTTTTATGTTTTATATCATAGATCCACTCAATAATAACAACACCGCCATTAACTCAAAGGAATCGAATGCAACTAACTTACATCCAACTCGCAAATACAAAGATATTGCCAGTCGTAGGCGTCGTTTAAATCGTACCGAAACTGAACAATTAAGTACTGTAAAGCCGACAAAAATATATTTTGATGTTTTATCACAAACACCAGTTGTAGTTGATGAAGATTTGAGTAACAAATATGATACTTCAAAGGTGCGTGTAGAGGTCATATCATTGCTTGACAAAGCAAACCAAAATGAAGAATCGAAAACAGACAATGAGGAACATACAAAGGATGTGCTTAATAAGCGACCAAAGAAATATAGACGTCAACGCCGTGATACAGATACTCATGTCGTACAGAAACGCAATCCATATTATCAAATTGGAAATGCCCAAAGTACAAATAGTTTAACACGTCCCTATAAGGAGAATGAAATAGCCAGAGTGCCATTCTATCAAAAGTAAGTTTGCTTTTAAAACAATGCTAATCTGATAGCTTTTATTCATGTTACTTAATATGAACTCTCTTATAGACATCATATACAAGGCGTTCTTTGGAATTCCCTAAATTTACCAGTACCAGAAGTCGTACCAAATGTGGATGAGCGTTTTGGTTCACCTGATGAAACTGATCGTGTTTATTGGGGAGGTTCACCCGCACGTAGAAATCCTGCTCGTACAACTACAACGACAACAACAACAAGACGACCGGTGAATGTTAATGATATTTTCCATAACTCAGATCCAAAAGATTCAGATTTCTCATTTATAAGTAAGTTTTCTTTTTCTATATAAAATATTTATTAAAACACTGTGAGCATTAAATCGCACATTGGTTTCATGGTTCATACATTCAAGTTAAAATGGAATATATATTCCATAATCAAAAAAAATTAGTATGTAAGAATTATAATAGAAAATAGTATATATTCAAATAATTCTGGGTTATATATTAAAATAATTGCATTTTACAGCAGCTAAGCCCGCGACCAAACGACCAAAAATACCAGACATCTTCTATAGTGAGTAAAATTCAGTTGCGTTTTCCATGTTGTCTCTGTTGTGTAAATTTTTCTAAGTATTGTCAATGTGTTCTATAAGTGTTCTATAAGTGTTATATAAATGTTGTTAAAATGTTGTTTACTTATTCACACTACTAAGACCTACTACATTTATTTAATCTGTAGAAGTCTGAATTAATATTTTGTAAATATTTGTATGTACAAATGACATGACTTGATCAATCCTTAATAATTACTATAACTACTGCTCTTCTACTTCTACTAAGTGTCTGTGATTTAGTTTTAAGCATGTTAATACTAAGCTATAATATTTTATTTATTATTTAAGTTTTTTTTTACTACTAAAACTAATATAGTTTTTAAGCATCAGTAACTCTCTGAACAAACATGCTTTGCACTATTTTGTAATTTTCTAAACCTTTATGAAATATCTGTTTTCATTTTTTACATACTAACACGAAACTTCACTTTTTATGTGACTGCCTATTATAGCGGAATCAGCAAATCGCAATCCTGTAAGAACCACCACCACAACACCTCGTCCACGCCGCCCACAAACCGAACCCCCAGCACAGAAATCTCCAACAGCAATCTCAGAATGCGTTTGGGCTATAGTTTCGTGCTGCTCAAGTCGTGACTACAATGTACGTTACAATTGCTTTGAAGCCAATGGCTGCATTGGCGCTTTCTGGGGCCTGAATCCTTGTGCTGATAACGTCAGAGAGAGCGCAATCAATATCATTAATGACTTTCTGGAATAGTTAACGAATTTACAAAATCTCATTCCCACTATATGTTAAATTACATTATATGTTAAATAAACAACAACAACAAAAGAACATCAAGGAAATGAGAAATATTAACGTTAATTTCTAAGTATTATTTATTAATCCAATAATGTGTTTCATTTTATAAAATAGTTTTAGTTCATACATGTCTAATGTGATGTAAGTGCATTTAATAGTAGTTCTTAAGTTATTTGAATGTTTTTATTATAATAATAAAGTGTTTTAGTTCAATAAATATATTACTAACACTTGATGCACATTGTTTATATTACACAATTTCATAATTTGATAGAAAAAAATCGGTATAGTAGTACATACAAATTAATTTGACCCAATTTTGACTTGAACCAATAAGCGTCACCTATCCACTGCTTTAGATTAAGTGGAACTAACTCAGCACCGTGGTTAGGTGTTCACAGATTACTGTGTATTAGGGCAATTTGCAGTGAGATTTGATTTCGTGGTGGCTGTAAATGAAGATCTGTAGATGAAGAGTAGTAGAAAATCAAAAATCTTTTGGACTTCTTTTCTCAACTATTTGATAGAGTTCTCATCCTTCAAAAACAGAGAATCAGAAAATTTATTGAAAATTTATCACTTATACTTAACAGTTCAATCGAGTTCAATTTTACGTATATGAAAAGTCGCGCCTGTTGTTTTCGATATTGATTTAGATTAATACTATATAATGATATTCATTTTGTTTGCGAAAAATTTAAAAAAAAAATATTGTTGAATCGATTTCGTAAATCTGGCAACACTAATGATTTAAATGTTAACTAATAATTTTTTGTGAGAAAACCATTAGGTATTGATTGCATTTTTAGATTTCGTTGATGGTTTTAATTATTTGAACTAAATTATATAAACTTAAACTTTAATAAACAATTCATAGAATAGAATTAGGTACTACTATTCCTCTAGCCTTTGCGGATGTGACTGACACAATCAAATGAATCATACATTCTATGTATGTCTGTCTGTCACTAGTCGGTACTAGTGGAAAACTTTTTCTGTTTTACGAAAATGACTATTACGTTTAATTTCAATATTAATGACCTTATTAATGACAATATTAATGACATTAAAGGATATTTTCTCATTGTTATAGAAGAATTATCAATCAATGAATGAAAGAATACTTTAAAAAAATCGAAGCAATTCAAAAGATACAACTGAGTACAAGTACAGTACAAGTGAGTACTTTACCCTTATAAGTATGTGACTCACGATAATATTATGGAATATATATGAAACTGCAATACTTATCTTAAGAGTATAATCTTGATTCGCTAAAAAACTCCACACATTTCAACGGAAACATTGTATTTCAGTTAAGAAAGAACAAGTAATCTCTTTCCTCGGCACTGACACATTGTTGAGCTCAGTAAAAAGAATTGTGAGTTCAACTATTACCAAAAATTCAGAATCCATACAGATAATTATTATAAGTTTCGAAAATTATGAAACTGTAACCAAAATTGATAACTCATAAGTTCGAACAACGACGAAATCGGATAATATACTATTTTCACGATACCATAGATTATTGAATAACAGAGTAATTGATCGAATTCGGAATTCAGTGCTTAGAGAAATTTATTTTTGATCTAAATTAAATAGAAAAAAGTATCACACCGATTTTGAGTAACAAAGTAATAAAAAAAAAATGTAATAAAAAAATGTAATGTTGGATCTAAATGAAATAGAAAAGCACCCGATATCGGAAACCTAGCACAAGAAGCAGTATTGAAGCACTATTGAATTATATTAAAAATTAGTGATGCATCAAACGTTTTTCTTAACGGCTTATATTATTGCGATATATATATATATATATATATTGATTTCATAATTATGATCTAATGACGAACGTGAGTATTGAATTCTTTCTTAATTAATTTAAAATTAATTTTCTGGAAGATCAATAACTAAAGGTCCGTTTGGTATCTAAAAAATTACTATTTCTATTTAATGTTGGTTTAAAGGTCGTTTGGTGAAAATGTGTATCTCTAATATAACCTACAAAATATCGATATATCTTTTACTATATAATAGACTAATTTTTTATATTAATTGTAATAAAGCCAAACTTCCTTACTCGCAGTACCACTTTGCAAAGAAAAATTTCGACTTATGGAGTTTCCGAGTTGAAGAATTTTTGCGTGATTGTATGTTATTTGCTCTCTAAACCCTGTTGCACTATACTTTGTCCGAGTTATAGAATATTCAAGTTATGAGAAGTTCGAGTTATGGAAGTTTGACTGCATATAGTATTAAAGGTAGACATATGTTAATATTTACTAATTTATTTCATAAGCCAATATTGTTAAGAGATGTGTTTAAAAATGAGTTAGAAACATTTATGAAAATATTTTTAAAAAAATTTTATAAATTAAAAACCTTTTTGTTATTTTTTTTTTTTTGATAATTATGGTGGAACATTGCTATTGAATTTTATTCTATGGTTGAGAAATAACATTACATATAAGGTAACCTCACAACAATGAAAACAATGAATGAATTTCAAAAGTTTTCAGACAAATTAGCTAAACCTATTCTCAAATATCATATAATTTTATAACATAATTAATAATGTTAAATTAAAAAATATACTAATTTATCCTTATAAGCGTAAGTTTCCTTATAAACTTAATGCACTTATATTGCATATATTGTTGATAACATTTTTTTTTTTAAAAATTATTTAAATTATTTTTATTACTATATTAATATTTTATTAATCTTTTCTCTAACAGTGCCAATCCCGACTGTCAATTTTACAGTTGTTATCCATTTACTTATAAACTTTTAATAATTTCTTATGTCATATACTCATTAAGAAACATTCATATGTATTTATATTTTATGCATTTAAAATATAAGTTAATTGAATCTTATATTATATCAATTATATTAAATTGAACTAATTTTATAGGTCAGCCTGTAGGTGTGGCAAGGGAGATCATACCTGAAATTAGTTTCGGAAGATTACCCTTTGAAGAGGAAGGTATGTGTATTCAATACTAATACCTTACTTATATATTAACTTAATTAAAAACAAATTTTTTATATTAGTTACCAATACAACACCAACTAGCTTAAGCAGATTTCCTGAACAAGAAGATATATTTTTCACAGGTAATGACTTGAAAATTTAAGGAACTAATAATTTAATTGATTTTTAACGTCAATTTTAACGAAATAATCTAAATTCTTAATATAAACTATTGTATTCAGAGAGTGGTATTTCGAACAGTAGTAAATAAGAACAACAATATTTTATTATTTTATTAATTAACTAAATTTTTAGGTGACCATACAGCTGTTTTTTGGAATTATGTTTTATATTTAATTATTTGAAAATAATTTTTTGAAACGACAAGTACCAATTATTGTAGCTCACTATTTATTAGAAAGCTTACCCAAAGATGTACTTGATTTGTGTGTTTGAATTTGGAATTTTGTTAATTTTATTAACAAATTCACTTGCTATGTTATATAAGAAAGAAGAATAATTTAATTAATTAATTATATTATATTTTTTATTTAATTTTTTATTTTTGAATTGTTAAATTTCTAAGCTATATATTTGTAGAGGCATTATTTATTGCATGATTTTATTACTCTTTATTGTGTATAGAACCTTATCAAGGAACCTAATACAGAGAAATTCATGCTAATGTTCTTACACAATTCGCTCAGGCGACACTGGAAAGGTGAATGAATATTTCTATTCATATTTTAATCCAAAATAATAAAATGATAAATTATGATCAGCTAAAAATTGAATTAATTAATAAAATATATAAAAAAAGTTTTATTAGGAGAATTCGAATAGAAATGAAAATACAACAACAAAAATTTTAGTTAATTTACTGAAGTTAGTACAAGTACTCATCATCAGTGATCTTAGAAAATATTCGATTTTTTAATTAGTTTATAGTCTGTAAATAATTTGTTTGGACTGCAAGTGCCAGGCTTAGAACTCTTGTCTGTCAAATTAGAAACAATGAGCTAAGGCTGCACAACCTTTCAATGTTCAAATTCCAAGTTTTTTGTGACTTTTTTTATTTTTTAATTATTTCTTTTATTTTATTATTATTATTTTTTATTATTTATAATAATTATTATTTATTTTATTTGTTTGCCGTGCTTTATATTAGAATGAGCTTAAAAACTATAGATTTATTTGGAAATACAAGTTCAACCAATTGAAAGTTAGTTCCTGAGGTTATCTATTTTTATTTCTTTTCTTCTTTTTCTTTATTTCTTTTCGAACTCTTCTAACTTTTAAATAGTTTCCTTTTGTCACTAAAAACTTTCTAAAAAAAAAAAATTAACATTAAAAAATTGTATCGTTGTATATTATGTTGAGGCTAGTTGAGTCAGTGCACCTGAGCACTTTTACTCTCTATTAACTGCGAAGTTTCTTCAAAACCCCTCTTTGCGCCTTGACTGGATTATTGTTTATCACTTAATCATTATTAAAAACTTATAATGTTTATAATGATATTATTTAAAACATCGTAATATTAAATTTGCTGTATCAAAATATTTTATATAAATAATAAAACAATATTAAAAATTAACTTTTTATATATTTTAAAGGTAATAGCAACGTTCAACAAAAAGTTGAGAAGGACTCAAGTACTCGCTGTTTACAGGTAGCTAAGGCCTGCTGTAACATTGCAGATATAAATCAACGCTTCTACTGCTTCGAACAGTATTCCTGTATGCAAAATATAGCGAGGATAATGTCAATCTGCAATTAAATTAAGGATAATACGGTTTTAGCCGTATCTTTTGATAATAGAAACTATCGCAAGCCACAAATGAAATACACAATAAAAAAATTTTGAAATCAGTTCGACTTATTTGTTATAATAGAAACGCAATGCCTGTAAAAATATAAAGATAGCATGTAAATAATTTCACCTTAAATCTAAGTCAATAGTCTTAAAATATATATGTACATTGTACACATAAAGTTAAATAAAGGTAGATATAGTTGTATATACATAGATTTTTTCAATAAAGTCCAAATATACTTTATTGTATTTAATTTTTTTTTTTGTTATTTGTGCACTGCATTCCGCTGAAAGCTTATTAAGGTAAGTATTTGCATTACTAAGAGCTTCCGCATTTAAGTATCATTTCATGTGTTCTCTACTTAATGTATAATACGTGCCTTTACATACATTTTATGTTGCCTTATTCTCTACTGGCTTTTAGACAAATACTTATATTGAATTTACTCAACAAATCCTTCAATTTGAAATGAAACTAAGATACTTATGGCATTCCCTAGACATTCACTATAATTAGCTATGCCAAGAATGAAATCCTTATAATAAAATTTTTATATAAACGAGTATTATTTGAGTGAACTTGGTTTTTAGCATTATTTTGGAAACGTTAGGTAACTTTTTCTTCTATATATTTAAAAGCAGTATGAAGATAATTTTCATTATTAACATTACTATATTTAAGCCCTGCATATTCCTTAATAACCACAAGTATTTTTAACTGTCAACGCATAGCGCATTCAATGGAATCGAACGAGACTCGAAGTAATTTCAAGATTTTTCCGTTTTTCATTGTATAAAAAATATATAAAAAAATTTTTTAAATAAATTTAATATCCTTCAAACGTTATCCTTTTGTACAGGAGAATTTGTATTAAAAAGTAAAAAAAAAACTTACCGCTGCCACTATCGTAACTACGCGTTGTAGAACCGCTAGTATTTGAACGTTTTATCTCACGTCGACCCATTTTCGCTGTGGCTGGTGATGTGTTCAGTGAGTGTAGTTGCTGAAGTTGTTGTTGTAATTGTAAATGTAATTGCTGTTGTATTTGCTGTTGTTGTTGATAATGGTAATGGTGCGTATAGTGTGTTTGATAAATACTCTTCGGTGAGTTGCTGGCCGATGCGGTACCTTGTATATTTGTATCAGCAGCAGCAGCAGCAGCAGCAGTGGTAGAGGCGAACAATGGTACGCCCGTTATTGTTGTCGGTAATGAAGGTGTTGAAGATGTTGCAAGCAACGCTAAGGGCGGAAATTGAAAGTAATTTACTTGCAATTGATTGTTATGGGAGTTGGTTGTTGTTACAAATTTCTGAGTTTTATTACTTGTTGCAGTTGTTGTTGTAGTTGATGTTGTTGTTGTTAATGTTGTTAGTGTATCAAATTGCTGTGCTTTACTATTGCTGTTGTTGTTGTTGTAATTACTGCTGACGTTGTAATTACTACTGTTATTAAGTTTGTTGACCGTTTCTGGAGAAATTGCTGCAGTAGCTGTCGATGTTATTGTTGTTGTTCCTGTTCCTGTTATTGTTGTTGTTGTGTCAAACGTGCGATTTGTGTTACTTATGTTATAAACACAATGCGGGGTTGGCGGTGGTGGTGGACAAGCGTTGATGCTGTTGTTGCTACTACTCGAAAATGATGGTTTACGCAGTGATGATGGTCTCAACCCTTTAACAGGGTACGATGGGTACTATCGGCCGGCAACACGTACCCAATCGCGGTTTTCACTATTATACCAAATGCCTGAAAGTATGCAATATAAAATAAACATTGACGTTAACTGAATATTTTAAATATTTTTGTATATATATATATATATATATATATATATATATATATATATATATATATATATATGTGTGTGTGTGTGTGTGTGTGTGTGTGTATGTAATGGTTTACATTGTATAAATTTTGTGGCTGAATTAATTTACTAAACAGCTAACAAAATTTTCATTTAAATGTTCAAACTTATGTATGATATTCTAATACTACCGAAATTCACACAAATTGCTGTTGAAAATAATTAAGTGCAATTTTGGGCGCACAATTATTGTCATTAAAAATTTTGTAAACCCGAAAATTTCAATTAAATGATTTTTGCATAAAATTGTATTGCTTTTCCACAGAGTAAACACGACATTGGTGGCATGAGCCGCACTGCCGAAGCAGCCGCCATGCTGGTATTTTGCGGTTAAGCACATTGGCCGCCATTATGCGCTGAAAAATCAATTAGGAATTTTTTCCCCCAGTTTTTTCTGGACTTTATGCTTTGTTTAACGGTTTTTCATCGATTTAAGTATTTTGGCAATTAAATTTTTGCACAATTTTTTTTCGCAAATTTTTTTCGCAAATATATTTCAATGGGCGTTGTTATTTTATTAAACATTTAAGTACCGAATATTTTGTATTTTTTGTTGAGTTATTTCCGCCTTACTTTGTTAAGCGTACTTTAAATATTTTTATAGCGCATTATATACACTTTTTTTGTCGTTTGTTGTTGGCTTTAAAACGTTCATAAAGTTGAACTATAATAAAAGGATTAAGGATAAAAAGGATTGCGCATTTTTAACAGCTACCGTGTGTGCAATGACGTAACCATAAAAAGAGTTTGAGTATGGAAACAAACGTTTTAACTGGAAACGTTTATCGCAGCTCTTAAACTGACATGAAACTTTAATTATGATGAAAGCCATAAATACTGTCAGTTTCCTAACGAAATATTTGAAGAAGAATTATTCTTCAATTCTGCTTAACCTACAAGACAAGGCAAATATAGATCATGAGTCTATGGCATACATGCACTGGAGAAATAAAAACAATATAAATTGTAAAAGGTGTACATTAGAGAAGGTAATAACTTTTTTATTAAGCATATTCCAAGCTAATAGCTTGGCTGTTAATTTTCGTAATCATTTACAATCTGACCCTAAAAAGGAGAATAATGTCAAAAGATTTTAAATTTCAACTTAGAAAATAAAAAGGCTTTATAAAAATAAAATAATGAACTTTTAGAAATTATACATCACTAGCTTGTCAACAAGTACTATTGAGTCACCAATGTGACTAGAAAATAAAAAAAAATTAGAATCAAATTAATGAATTAATCAATGGTGAATCAATTGATTAAACAAAAACCGAACAAAATTAGCGAAAAAAAATTCATAAAAAATATAATGTAAATAATTAAATTTGAAAAATCTAAATAATCAAAAAAGTAATTATATTTGAGACATAATTAAACACTAATAAAGATACTGTGTTAATTATACTGCATTATAGTATTATTTCATTTTTAATATGTTGTTTATTTTTATTTAAATATTAATTATATTTATCACACATAAAATTTACACATTATATATATTATATATATATTTATATTTATTTTATTCATTACGAATATAATTTGCCTCCATGGTTTTGGAGACCATATTGAAATATTTCGATGTTATCCTCTTCGAATCCCAGACAATTGTAAAATAAATCAACTGTCCTGACGCAATTATCTCCAACATATTTATGTAGATAATTGCTACACAATAAGTGAGTTGATTCAAATTGTAAAAGTATTGTAATATATACATAAATACAGATAAATAAATAAAAATGCATACATTTATTTGATGGAATACGTGTATAATAAATAATAATGCCATTAATATTTTATAAAATATTATTTTAAGAAACAACAACATTAAGAGACAGAATCACAATTTCTTAAAAGTAATATTTGCAATCACATTATCGGTACTACAATCATGAACTCCCAGCTCAAGTGCCTGTTAAATAAAAAATTATATTCAATAATATATATTATTATAAATAATAATTGTAGTAAGCAAAAATTTTAATTACCAATGATCTAAATGTTCACGAAAATAATAATGAAATAACGTCATTACAGTCAGAATACCAAAAAATAACCTATTAGACCATATATACAAAAAACCTCTTTTCATAGATTTAAATAGAACTTTCTGAATCTTTCGAACTATAGTGTCATCTTTCCACTGAAAACAGACTTTAAAAGTATAAATAATGTATATATATAACTAAGTCATAGTTTTATCTACCAGTAAACATACATTTTTTCTTTTTTTTGGACTTTTATGCCAGACTTTTGTATACATTTCTTCAAATTTAAGATTTATAGAATTTTTTATAATTGCAGAATTTCTTTAAAAAACAATAATTTTTATGGTACGTCAAAATAAAGGAACGGTTGCTTGCTTTCGTATAAAATCAATAATTCACAATAGATCAAAAATCAAAATCGACATTAGGCCTTTTCTTTTGTAAGCATGTTGAAAAAGAACAAATAATATTAGCACTACTTTCGTTGGCAACTCTGGACAAAATGGAGATTTTGTGCGAACACGTAAAAAAGTTGAAATTTCGAAAATAAATAATAATAATTTGCAATTATTGATGAGAATATTTTTTTTTACATGATTCTAAATAAAATATAATTTTTCGTGACTTTTAACTGTAAAATAATAAATAGAAAATATAACATATTTGTTACGAACAATGACGACACGAAATACGAATAATTAACGAAATCATTCGTTGACAGATAACTGGACATTTCGTATGTACTTCCAAAAATCGATAGACGAATAGACGAATTTTTAGTCTTTGCGACCTCGTGCTTTGAGCTGCTTGTTAGTTAAGCTTATGTTTCATATTTATTTTTAAAATAATTGGTTATTCCTACCAATTCAAATTTTTCTAATATTATTCTTTCCAATATGATTTATATAAATCTGTGTCTATGAGACACAATCAGGCCCTTCTGCCAGTGTCTCTGTAGTTTTCAAGATCTCCGTCTTATAATTTATACCAAATGATCTTAAGAACAAATTTCTTTTAACCGAAGAACCTAATAAGACAATATTGAATCATAAAAACTTGAACTTGTGATTAAAATAGTGTAGCTTTGAAAATCTTAGGAAGATTTTATGACAATTGAGCAGTTATAGAGAGAGGAATGACAGTAAAGTGGGAGCTATTGCGATATTGTACCCCACTAAATGCAACATTATTTACAAAAATTATTCACAGTACACAATTTTTGTTCAATTTTAATTAATTTAATTTTTTTTCAGTTCATTAAAACGTGATATATAATATCCAATTTACTAAAACCATCATGAAACGTTTAAAATATTTTTCTTCCATTTCCGCTCTTTTAATTTTAATTTTAATTTTATAAAAATAATAAATGCATTTCCCACAACATCATTAACAACATAGCATGTCAGCAACAGTCGAACAGACATTTTAATGCCGCACAACAGACATTTTAAATCAATTTGTCATAAGGCATTAGGAACAAATCAATACTGCATAGCAGAAGAGAAGCAACAGCAGCAATAGCAGCGATAACAGCAGTAACAGCAATAACAGTGGTGATAGCAGATCCATAAGCAGCGGGAGAATTAATGTCATTTCGTAATGTTATGAAGCAACAATTTATTGAATTTGAGGCATTAATTCTAGCAGAGAAAAATTTCACGTAATAACATTTACAGTGGAAGAAAAATTGCATTAAGCTTCGGTTTAAAATAAATAAATGTGTACCATAAAAAATTATTCTTCACATTTTCTTTTGAATTGAAAATAAAAATGGTTCAGACTTAAGTACTTCAGTAGTTTTCAGTTATTTACTTTATATTGGCACATTATTAAATAAGTTTCAAATCTTGTTATATAAAAAATTGTTGGTATAAATAATACAAATATCTTTTCATTTTATTAATTATAAGATTATAATTGAAAGAAATTTCAGTATTTAAAAAAATATTTAAAAAAATTATTTTAGAAGCGTTTCGAATAGAAAAGAAAAGACAAGCACAAAAATTTAGTTAATTTATTGAAATTTGGCTGCCAAGTAATCATCATCAGTGGTCTTGGAAAATATTCGAATAAGTTCTTTAATTAGTCCGTATATAATTATGTTTGGATTGCAAGTGTCAGGATTAGAACTTGTGCCTTCGCACTCTGCCATCCTCATTCATTATTTCATTGTCTGCTTACACAAGACGTGTAGAATTGGAACTACAGCAATGTTCTGTTTGTGATCCTAATAGATCAAAACTCTGGCGCTACCAATACTTTGGGAAAAATATGGTCTATACTTCATACATTAAAAATAAATAAAATTACACCCAAAAGAACATATTTTGTATGTCAAAAGTTCTTTCAATCTTTCAGCCTTTTTTTCCACAAATGTGCGATGATTCCATTATGGCCCCAACTTTATAGAAAAATAGACTATGAATTTATTTCAAGAGAATTAATTGAAGAGGAATCAAAATATATAATCATGTAATGATAAAAGAGTTTTTAAATAATAAAACTTTTCTCTTCTAGACTTACAAAAAATGTGTTCAGGCATAGCGAATATTTTACGATTTCATAGAATTCCATTGAGATAGATACATATCTAAATATTGTTTGTTTGAGATATAAGCAGTTCATAACAAGCTCTTACAGAGCCACGTTGTGTAGGGTTCTCCCTTCAATAGTAATAGAAGACGGCACATTAATTAAGTCCCAAAATAAAAATTTAAACATAAAATATATTCAACAATTTAAATTAAATGTTATTAATAAATGTTTTTTTTTATTTAATATTTTTTGTTTGGTTGCTATTCTATTGATCAAATGATATTTACACAAAAATTTAATGAAAAAAATTTACTTCTAATTTTGCTAATATTAAGTTTCCAAAGACTTTTTTTATTTCAAATCTGGACTAGTTATTCTTTATGTCTTGTGAGAGTAATTGCAGGATGAACCAGATGTTCTTTCTTTTTAACTGTATTCTCATCGTTTGCTATGAAAATCTTGAAATATTCTTTAAAATCAGATGTCCTCGACAATGTGGAAATTGCATTTTCAGTAGCCAACAAACATCCAATGTAATTTCCAGCTTCTGATAGTGAGATGTTAATGTGGAATATGCCATTAGTTTGTAGAGTAAGAGTCAGTGTCACCGTCTTAGCTGGATGATTGCCAATGAGTTGTTTGATTCTTGCATCCAAGTGATCCTTAACAAGAGGTGGTTTTTGCTTTTGACATAGCAAGCAGAAACTCGAAACGGATTTCAATTGGGCTTTCTTTTGTTTTAGTTGGTTTATGTCAGACGTGCGTAATGCATCAGCATACGATATTCCAGGTGTTACTTTAGAAGGCTCAGGATTTAATTTTTTTTGTTGAGTAGTTTCTTTTGTTTCATTTATTTTTTGATTTGAGGGCGGTTTAGTATTTTTATTTGCATATAATCTTGCTAAAGAAAACTCTTCATTCTCATAATCCGTTTCTTGTGTATGCGCAGATCCTGAAGGCTGTTGCGGATTGAGAGGACAAATTTTAATTTCATTAGCAGATCTCGCGGCATCCGCATATGATATTCCCGGTTTTAAATGTGTAGGATGTGCAGGCGGATTATTTTGAGCAGCGGCCTGATTTCTAGCACGTAATTTTGATAAGGAAAACTCTTCATCATCATAATCTGTTTCAGTTGTGGGTTTTTTCTTCTGTTGTTGTGGTTTGTGTTGACTAGTTGTAGTTTTGGATGTTTTGGGTTTTATTTTAGAAGAATTACTACTTTTTGAGTCTGTTTTATTTAACTCTTGACTTTTACTACTTTTTGGTACGGGCTGAGTTTTAGGTAGTTCCTTTTCAGTTTCGGAATTGTGTTTTGTATTTGAAGGTGATTTATTTACACTTGAATCAAGATTTTTCTCGGTATTAGTATTGTTTTGCTTGCGAGCACAGGATGGTCGGTTGCCCATTTTTCTATTTTATGAGTATCCAGTTCGATTCATCTTTGTTTGCACTTATGAAAAAGAAGATACGACATAATTTTTTTTTAATTTAAAAAGCATTTTTAAGCAACTTGTATTTCTCCATTGTATTTTTTATCAATAAGATTTTAATAATTTTAAATCTCATGTCATATAGAATTTAATATCAGGTAAATATGATTGAGAAAAAATAAATACCGTTTCTTTATGTTTGTGTTTGAAATCTTTAAAAAAATTGTGAAGAATGGTATGTTAGGTTTTTAGAGATACTTATAAAATAGTGAAATAGAGAGTGGAAACTATAAATAATCCTTACAACAACAACGACACAAAAAAATTTACTGATCACAATCTGTCTATCGCCCTCGCGTGGCACCGATGCATAAACCAAAGAAGTACCTAAGTGGTTATCTCGTATTGCATGAACCAATAAATCGTGAAAAAAGTTATAAATATATATAAATAAGGGAGGTACATATGTGGGCATCTTATACCGTATGAAGAAGTAAGATTTTGTAGTATGGGTTCAATAACACAATTTGTTGAGGAAGTTGGACTTGGAGGAAAGTTGTAAGTTTATGAATGGGATACGATAGATGTTTTGGTCGCAGTGTTAATATTCCAAATATAATAATAATAATCATGAGTTTATGAGTCTGTGCTTTAAACAAAATAAATATCAGTTTTTGCGTTGCTTAGTATTTAAATGTAGATTTAAATATATATATATTAATTTAAAAAAAGCGTGAATCCTATAATAAATGCAAATAAGCAAGAAGGAATGTAGCATAATGAAGATTTTTTAGAAAATATCTCTGAAAATATCTTTAATGTGGAATTTTTTGTATAAATTAAAATAAGACAACACAAATATATAAACCGCCCAGCAAATGAATTTTGTATGACCTATAAAATGCCGGATGTGGAAGTCCAAGTTTGACACAGTTGTTATGAGTAGATACTGGCATCCTACCAAATCCAGTCAGATCCTTATGCGTTTCCTAATATACTCGTATGAGTGTAATATGAAGTTTTCTGGAATAAAACTTACTGATGAGGAATTTTACTGTCATTGTTCAATTGTTTGGTTAATTTTCTTTGCTCTACTATTGTGCTAAATTTAGATTGCCGGATTAAGCCTGTTTCTATGGCAGTCGCAGTGTTAGTAAAATTCAAACAATTCATTTCTTATGTGAATAAACATAAGAAAAATAAATGAAAATTATAGATGAGTTATGAATACGTAGAAGTGCATTTGATGATATACACCACAATTATATATAAGTATACAGTTAAAATTAAATATAGAATAACAAATTAAAATCTCTATTAACATGTGACAATTTTATGATGAAATATCACTCCCTTCACAATACATGTCCTGGTTAAAGCAATTAAAAAATATGTAACAGAACGAGTAATAGAGGAGAAATCCACTACGTGCAAAGAAGTTATTAAGGGTTAAAATTTGGTTGATTCCATTAATAACAAACCTGCATTTGAATAACCCATTTGTATGACGGCTATATTGAAATCTAAGCCGTAAAACGTTTATTGAAGATTATAGCTGCCGTGTGCAGTACTGAAAATGTGTCTGAGAAAAATCTGAATAACAACAATAATGCTTTAGAACTGATCACATGTACTATATATGATTTATACAATGGTATGTACATATAAAAAATTTTTTTTTGAGTACAGGGCAGAATAAAACAAGGCGAATACGAAATTCAATCAATTCCAAAAACGTAAATTAATTAAAAGCGACAGAAACTTTCAGGTAAAAATAAAGACAGAAATTAAAGAATCGTATTTACTACAAATTTCTCATTTTCTTTCATATGTAAAAAGATCTGTAAATAAAAAAGCATTATGACCTGAATATCATAGTAAAAGTATCTTCCGAAGAATGTTCCTAACGGTTTCTCATCACTGTCCAAGCTTCTGCACATCCAACAGTACAGGCACGATAAGAGATTTGTAGAGCGTGACTTCTGTTTTCAATTATTTATCAATTGAGAAATAAACAGGGTTTTATTTACCTACTTAGCCCGAAGTAACATCTGTTGGCAAGAGTGATTCTTCGTTGAATCTCTAGTTTCTAGGTTCCCAATTAAAGAAAATCTTTCATATCACTCTGGAGACTTTTTTGTTGACAGAAAGTACTTTTTTTGTTCTCATTTACCACAAGACCCATTTGCTTCGTTTGTTGTTCTACGAAGCAACAAACGAAAAATGCCGCACTGATGGCGTTCCGCTTCTGTTTACGTTATATGTTCAGGTTTGATTATAAGTTTAATACCTTCGGTATGTATGTTATACTATATATCGACTAAAAGCGATAATAAATCACTTATGGCTTTGGTAGCATTTTTTTCTGTAGATGATTTAAGACTTTACAACTGGTCTGTTAGAGCAAGAGAGTAGTGTTTTTGTTTTGCATATAAATTGGAGACTTAAGCAAGAGACTTTTTGGTACTCTTCGGAACTGCAGAATAAACCAATTTTTACTTATTATTATTTAGTTAATTTTTTTACTAATGCAAAATAAATAATTAAATAAGTAAATAATTAATATTATTTCATAAAATAAAAATGAACTATTTAACTTTCCAATCAAATTTGTTAAGTGAATGAAATTAAAAAAATTAAGCGTTGTTCATCGAACTAATGATGCATCGTAATTGTACATCGTTCCGTTGTAATTTTATTTATTTTTTTTTTCATTTTATTAACAAATATATAGAATACCTTGCCACCCTTCTATGGAATCCAATAACGTCACGGAAACAGCATTGCATACATGAATCTATTTTTCATTAACAGAAAACAGAAAATGAATAGGAACATAGCCATGGAAGCAGAAAAAGCGGATACAAGCGAAGGATACGAGTATGTGCTCAGCACCTTGCGTTTCCGTTTCCGTTTGGACGCCTTAATGCGAAACGACATTACACGAATTTATATATTTTTATTTTTTTTTGCCTGTTTTTGCACATTTTCCCCGTTAAATCGGAAAATTTTTCTTACAAATCGGTTTCGAGTTGAATTACCATAATATGACACACGATACGAATGACTTCATTGAAAAGCATTGACAAAGACAGATATTGGAGGATTAAAGCATCAAATTGTATTGAGTACGGTGGGCGGGGTGGCACTAAGATGTACTAAACGGTGTTAAGTAAAATGCAAAAAAAAAACAAAAAATAAAACAAAAATTAAAATAAATACATACAAGAAAACAAGTAAGGAAAAGAAAAAAGAGGAAGAAAAAATTTAGCACATTTTATGCTTTTTTGTGCTCTCCTTTTGCGCTGTTAAAACTTATTCAATTTCAATCTTATCTTGTATATCCTTTTTTCCTTGCTCCTTGTTTTTGATTTGCATTGCTTTATGTTATATGATGGGTGTAATGAAAGACGGAATAACAGCAATGAAAGTGGAAAACAAAAAGTACAAACTTGAAAGTGCTTAGCAAGTATAAACAAGGATTTTCATTTTTCCCCTTCCCCCTCCTGTTAGCTCAGTTGTGCATCAACTTTTGAAATACAATACGATACGTCTTCACTGCAGCGCTTCTGCCCCTGCCTCTGATTGGGGCAAATTCAAGCTCTAGCATTGGGGTTAAATCAAAGTATATCTGATAAGCGATAATATATAAAGTGAAATGAATTGTTTGATCAGATAGAAAAGCAAAAGTTAGGTTTTATATTCTCTGCGGTCAGAACGTAAGCCATTGTTTGAGAAGTATAAGCAAAAATCAATATGAAACTTAAACTGTTCCTGTCTTAATAGCCAATTTCTAAAATTTATTTGAGCAGAAAAAACATAATTAATGGAGTTCAGTTACGTAAAGTAAATACAAATGAAATGAAATGCGGTGGCTTGTGTTTGCTAATAAAAGTGCTGCATTTATCAAATTGTTGACTAAGTATAATTGAAGTAGATATACCCACAAGCTATAATTAAAATTGGATTTCAGTAAATGAAAAAATAGTTTAAAATCGGAAAAATACAAAAAATTCGACCTTAGTCTAGTTAGTCTAAACTAACATCAATTAAGTTGAACTTGATACAAGTATATATATACTTGCCATACATTATACTTCCCCAAGGGATAGTAAATTCAGATTACAAAATAAATTCGAAGTATTTTGGGAATACAACATGACACTTAAAAGATATTTAAAGTCAGCGGGTTTAGATAAATACTTTCCAAGTAATTCTCAAGAACTGCCCAACCTTACTAACGCGTATCGGTAAACAATAATATAATAAACATCTCATACCAATTTTCCAGTTATATACTTATATAGATAGCTTTTCGGAATGAAACACTGCGGTCGTGCCTGATCTTTTGTGCTGCTACCCGGCCCTAATGGAACACAAGGTACTTTAACCTTCTATTGAAAGCTAAAATGTTAGTTGTTAAATGAGTTTAGGCAGGGATAGAGACCTCTGATCCAGTAATCCCGTATTGCCACGGGTCAAACCCAGATAGTTACAGACCCTTTCGTTGACTTTTTAACTAACCTTTGGTGAGGCTAACCGATTCTAAGTAAAAATTAAAATTAAGGTTAAAATGTCAGCTGCTAAGGACATTCTAACCTCTAATTGAGATATAACCCTCTGATTCAGTAATCTTCTCTTGAGTCAAATGAAAACCCCTGCAAGAAAGGACTTACAATACTCCCGAAGTAAGGCAACCGTGTTTTTGCAAGCGACTAAAACTTAACAGGCACCACACGACACAGTTTGGAGCTGATAGTGAGTATGTTTCACTTGCTGTATCCGACATGATGTGTAATTCTGGTATCATGGGATTGAAGGCTTAGAACTGTTTTGACCAAAAGAATTTGGTTCCTTTATTGAGCGTATTATGATGGTTGAAAGACATAGTTATGCAAGTAGAATGATTATAATTACTTTCATTTAATGAAATCGGTTGTTGTGACCGAAAGATCAACAGATATGTTATTTTTTTCTCTCAAAGAAAAAAATATATCGCAACGTTTAACTTTAATTTTTA